TTTATTTTATCATATTAGAGACAGGGTCTTGCTCAGCTATCGTTTTTAAATGAAGAGTAAGGTTATTATGGGTCTAGATTATGATATAGCTCACTATTTTTGATATTTAACCAAAATTTTAATTAAAAAGTATTTTGCAGATATTAAGTATACTATCCAAAATCATGTATAATATATAATAAAAGTTAAGGATAAGTAACCATCATTTTTCTTAACATGGAATATAAAAAATATAAATATTAACAGTAGCTGGCAGCCGGGCAAGGTGGCTCAAGCCTGTAATCCTAGCACCCTGGGAGGAGGCCGAGGAGGGCGGATTGCTCGAAGTCAGGAGTTCAAAACCAGCCTGAGCAAGAGCGAGACCCCATCTCTATTATAAATAGAAATAAATTAATTGGCCAACTAAAATATATAGAAAAAATTAGCCGGGCATGGTGGCACATGCCTGTAGTCCCAGCTACTCGGGAGGCTGAGGCAGCAGGATTGCCTGAGCCCAGGAGTTTGAGGTTGCTGTGAGCTAGGCTGACACCACAGCACTCACTCTAGCCTGGGCAACAAAGTGAGATGCTGTCTCAAAAAAAAAAAAAAACAGTAGCTGGCAAAAATAAAAAATGATGTATACACAAGGCTATTCATTGTAATCCTCTTTGTAACACATTTGGAAACTACCCAAATGCCCATCAATAGGTTGAATAAACTATGGTACAACCACACAATGGAGTACTATGTAAAAAAATGAATGAGGACAATCTCTAGATACTACTATGGAGTAATATCCAGGATGTTGAAAAAAGCAAGGTTAGAAAAAAGTATGTAAAGTTATGCTACTGGTTATCTAAGGAAAAGTGGGAATATGGAAATATTTGCTTATATTTTTTAAATATTGATAAACTGTAACTTTTTATACTATGGCTAAAATAGACGAAAGAACAGGTATAGAAGGTCGACTTCTTTGGACTTTGTTGTTTTAGATTTGACTATCAAAGGCCATATTTTATATAATTATAAATGAAACTTAACAGAGGGCCAGGCGTGGTAGCTCACATCTTTAATCCTAGCACTTTGAGAGGCCAAGGCAAGAAGATTATTTGAGGCCAGGAGTTTGAGACCAGCTTAAGCAACACAGCAAGATTCCATCCATCTCTACCAAAAAATTTTTAAAAATTAGCCCAGCATAGTGACAAATGCCTGTAGTCCCAGCTACTTGGGAGGCTGAGGCAGGAGGATCACTTGAGCCCAGGGGTTTGAGGTTGCTGTGAGCTAGGCTGACACCATGGCACTCTAGCCCGGGCAACAGACTCTGTCTCAAAAATAATACTACTAATAAAAAAAAAATAAAACCAAAAAGAGAAATACTACGAGACAGATCAACCAACTATAGTATGTGGTCCTTATTTGAAAAATGATCACACACGGGCGTGTGGGCTCACCCTGTAATCCTAGCTCTCTGGGAGCCCGAGGCGTGCGGATCACTCAAGGTCAGGAGTTCAAAACCAGCCTGAGCAAGAGTGAGAGCCCGCCTCTACTATAAATAGAAGAAATTAATTGCCAACTTCCAGGATCATATACAGTCGTTGCACATCCGCTGACGAAACCTAAATGCAAGTATCTGGGCTTATTTGTATGTGTGATCTTCGCGCATGACCTGGCTCATCGTTTCACTTCTCCATTTGTTTCTATGAGACAAGTTCACTGTGCCAGGCTTCAGGAGAATCCTGCTTCAATCCGTTACTCACAGCAACCTTCATACTCCTTTTCTCAATTATCCTTACTGCCTCAGCCTCCTTATACATTACTGCATCATCCCAGCCATGCTCGTCATCTATTATATTATTCCATTGCAAAATACTTTTTAATTAAAATTTTGGTTAAATATCAAAAATAGTGAGCTATATCATAATCTAGACCCATAATAACCTTACTCTTCATTTAAAAACGATAGCTGAGCAAGACCCTGTCTCTAATATGATAAAATAAAATAAAATAAAAATAATAGTTGGGGTGATCATTTGCATAAAGGATTTTTCCTTTAAAGTGAATATGAACTTGAAAAATTATAACAATGAGGTGATATTTAAAAAGTATAGCATTTTTTAAAATTAAAAATTAATTTTTTTAAAACAAAAAATGACAATGTTTGGTTATCATGGTGGATTCTTTAACAGTAGCTTCACTTAGAACAACACTTAGGGAAACAAAATCAAACCTTCTAAAGAGCTTATGGCAGTGGCTTTT